AGAGTGTGGAAGGTGCCACATCGTCGTATGTCAGACCGCCGGATGCCGTCGACCGTGATGGACGCTCTCGCGAACCCGATTGCGGTGGCACCGCGTCGGCAGCCGTTGCAACTCCGGGCGTGCGCGCGTCGAACATTCTATCGCGAGTTTCGGCCCAGATTCCGAGCAGTGAAGAAATCGCGCAGCGGGCACAGACAAGGCGGGATGTTTTGGATGCCGTAGCATCGAAATCCGCTTCAAAGCGGAAGCTCGAGCTTCTGAACGAAGGCTGCGACGAAAATGACGGCGGTAAGGACTCCACATTCTTCATTGTAAATAAGAAGATGCTGAACGGTCTGCTTTCGTCAGTAAAGTGCAACAAGTGCGACGAAGGGTCGATACGCCTCGAGACTACGCACTGCCTTGGACTTGCGGCGAGGATGGAACTTTTTTGTGACAATTGTGGCATAGTGAACAGTGCGTGGTCGTCCCCGAGGTGCTCCGGGCAACAAAAACGAACCCCTTTGAGGTAAACGTGCGTGCTTTGAGGGCTGTGCAGTTAGTTGGCAGAAAACAATCTGCCATAAATGACATTTTTTCTGCGATGGACATTTCGCATCGAGCACTGCACCACAAGTCCTACCAGAGACTGCAAAGGAAGTACAGCCACCCTGCCACCACATCAGCTGCCACCCGCATTGAAGCAGAAAGTGCACAGAAGGTGCATGACATTTACAAGGACCTAGGAGGAGTGCCAGGCAACATTGACGTCATTTACGACGGCACGTGGATGACGAGGGGGCACAGAAGTCATATTGGCGTGGGCTGTGTAATCGAGCTGTACACAGGCTTGGTCTTGGACCACTGTGTCCTGTCCAACTACTGCCAAGGCTGTGCTGTTGGCCCCAAGCCTGGTGACGACAACTATGAGGAGTGGCTTGAGAAACACAAGCCACAGTGCCAAAAGAACACCGATGCTAATGCAGGCCAAATGGAAGTAGAAGCAGCGAGGATCATGTTTGAAAGATCGTTTACCAAGTACAAGCTTCGATACATCAATGTGCTCTGCGACGGTGACAGCCGTACGTACCTTGCCCTCACGCAAGACAAGGTGTATGGCTACATGTTGATTAAGAAACAGGAGTGTGTGAACCATGTGAAAAAAAGAATGGGCACTTCCTTGCGCAACCTTCTTGATGAGCACAAATCCAAAGGCCGAGGACTGAGCATGGGTGGCAAAGGCCGGCTGACGCAGGGCCTTATAAAGAAGTTGACGAATTATTATGGCTGGGCCATTAAGAGGAGCCACCCCAACGATGTTCCTGGCATGGAGAGGGCCATCATGGCCACTTATTACCATGTAACATCCACAGACCAGGATCCACACCACGACCTGTGCCCAAGTGGGACTGACTCCTGGTGCCCGCACAATCAGGCATTGGCCAAGGGAGAGCCGCTGCCGCCTCACAAACATAAACTGCTCCCTCACGTGCGAGTGGCACTGCTGCCAATCTACAAGCGCCTCTCGAACAAAGAGCTCCTTGAAAGGTGTGCGCAGGGAAAAACCCAGAACGCTGTGGAGAGTATGAACAGCCTCATTTGGTCACTCCAGTCCAAGAGCCAGTTCGCCTCCCTTCGAAGTGTGGAAAGTGCAGATGCAGTCTGCCGTTTCAATGGTGGCTGCAAGAGTGCGCTGCAAGAGATCACTGCTCAACTGGGCTTCAATCCAGGAGACTGCTCTTTGCGGCGAGCAGCCGAAAAGGATGCCAAAAGGGTGAAGAGGGCTCAAAAGGCGCATTGTTCCACGACAAAGAAGCGCAAAACTGGGTTGCGCTCTACAGAGGCCAAGGCCACAGCATCTCAGGATTACTGCCCAGGAGGATTCTGAGTGTTTTAGGCATGTTGTGAACTTCCAAACAAGAGTGAACTTTCAAAGTCAGTTTTCTCAACTCTTGATTTTCGCCTATGTGCCTTCGCTAGAACATCTGTCATTTTTTTAACAAAGACTGATAGAGTCGTTCCGTTTTTTGCACTAGGCTCAGGAGGCCTTTAGCAGTGCAATAAAGCTTTATCTCTCTTCTTACTCATCATTTAAAATTTTTAGAACACATTTTATAATTACTGCGATGTGTGCGCAAAACAACATCCATGTTTTGGAAATTTTATTTATGGTTACAAGAACTAGAAAAATCAACTAATAGCTTCTTTGCACAAGTTGATGCTTTGGGAACATAATAATATGAAAAAATAATTTCATTTAGCAATAATTATCTCTTTAAGTGTGAAGAGCATTAATTAGTATAATTATGCTTGTAACTCAAAAAGTACAAGAGGTATTTGAAAACGGTTTTCATATTTGGAATCCTCACAATCATCCACATACACACACCAAATTTCATCACAAACAGTACATTAATAAAAAAATTAGTTTTACTTGCCACGTCCCCCCTTAAGGTGAAAGCAGACAAGAAGCACCCCTCATACTCTACTATTAATGATTTGTCGAGCTCCATTCTGTTTCAAAACGCCTTCGATGAGGCAGCCCTTCTCAGTTTGCCTGAAGGGTCTAGCTGAGAAAACTAGAGTGTCACTTAAAGACAGTTTAATGGCTCCTGTAGCATACCCGTCACCGTGGCAGTGGGATACTATAGACTGCGATGTGTCTTTTCTAGAAGTTACAAAACATGCGCCTATTGCCCATATCCGAACATACGTCCTGGAACTTCAACACAAATACACGCGTCATGAGTTCTTAGATGCCTCCAAGTCTAACTCCTCTGTGTCCTATGCTGCTGTCGGCCCATCCTTTTCGGATGCAGGCCCTCTACATCCAGGCACAAGTATCTTCACAGCGGAAGCTTATGCGATACTTGTGGCGGCTAAACACATCAAGCAATTACAAATACAAAAAGCAGTAATTTATACGGACTTCCTCAGTGTGGTAACGGCTCTGCACACTCTTAAAAAACAAAAAAACCCCAGTCCTTGTCTCACTTTACTCCATTTTGTGCACACTCTACACACTCAAACAACATGTTGTAGTGTGCTGGGTGCCAGGGCACCGTGAGATCCAAGGCAACGTGAGGGCGGATCAGCTCGCTGCATCCGCCCACAAAAGCTCTGCCCCTACACCCATGTCAATCCCGGCCCTTGATCTTAAGCCGTCTCTCAAACGAAACCTCAGGGACTACTGGCAGAGCAAGTCGGATAGACGCACACGAAACAAACTACACATTATTAAGCCACACCTTGGTCGTTGGCTGCCAGTATGAAAATCGCGTCATACAGAGGTAATACTAATGAGGCTCAGGATAGGACACACATACACGACACACACATATCTTTTGTCCGGTGGCGATTCACCATTGTGTGACAGATGTGGTGAAGCATTAACAGTCATTCACATGTTAATCCACTGCAAACACTTAGAAACTCTAAGAAAACAACATTTTCCATTACCCTACCGACAACATATACGTTTACACCCTGCAATGTTCGTCGGTAGGGAACCGCTTTTTAGTCAGAAATCATTGTTAGCGTTTTTAAAAGAAATTCATAGTTTTCATATCATGTACCCGGGCATTCCGTAGCACGACCTCTCCAGAGAGGTTTTTGCTGCGGTGGCTACACAAGAAAGCACTTGCCTCACGGCCTTTGGACGCAAGGGTATGAACGAGTGAGGCACTTGTGCTAATGCCATACATGTCCACCATCGTTTTTTATTATCACCAAATTTTGTCACCTATTCACACCACACACACCTTTCATGGCTTGGTCATGATTTTATCACTTGTATGTTTTTACCCGCCTTACCGCGAGGAATTTTATGGCCCTTATACAGCCGCTTATCACAATCATTGTCCATATTTTTAGTAAGATTAACTGGCGCTCTTTGGCCGTGAAATGGCCCTTGCGCCACAAAACATCAAACATCATCATCAATGGCAACTTGGTTTATGAGATACAAGTGTATAATTGTAAGAAGTGAGTTAATATTGGTATATTGTTGAGGACTGTCACATATCTGAGCTGACAAAAAAAAGCTCAGACATACCCTGTACTATTTTTAACTGGCAGGCATTATTACATGTCCCTTTTACCACACATCTGAAGGTGCTCGCTATGGCGATTTGTTATCTATTGGTTTCTGCAGCCAAACTCAAAAATGCAGTTCATATTCCTTTCTGACAGCATTCAAAGCTTTGTGTAGAGAAACGTGGCAGAAGTGCAGGGTTCTAATTAAAGTTCAGCAAATGCGTTGTTTAGCTGGCTCTGAAAAGAGGCGAGCTTGCCGCGGTGGTCTCGTGGCTAAAGTACTCAGCTGCTGACCCGCAGGTTGCGGGATCGAATCCCGGCTGCGGCGGCTGCATTTCCGATGGAGGCGGAATTTTTGTAGGCCCGTGTTCTCAGATTTCGGTGCACGTTAAAGAAGCCCAGGTGGCCGAATTTTCGGGGCCCTCCACTACGGCGTCTCTCATAATCATATGGTGGTTTTGGGACGTTAAACCTCTCAAATCAATCAATCTTGAAAAGAGCCGAAAAGAAGAAAGAAAAGAAAAAAGATGCGATGTGGCCAGCGCTACCGCATTTGTAAACCCTTAGGTGCAAAAGAAAATCACTTATTTTTGTTTGTGTGGCGTTCCACTTGCCCGCAATGACGTCTGCCTGAATTTCAGTTCACGTCATGCTGTCCCTGTACACTGATGACAGTGTCAGTGCTCGCGTCATCTCCGAGTTCGTTGGCTCTGTAGGTGCTGCCTGTTCGATCTCCGTGTGGGAGTCATCGGAATCCTCTGTAACTGGACGAATGATTTTGTCATCGGTAAATTCTGCTCACAGCTCGAGGTCTTTTTCTCTTGGCATGCTCAAAAAAGAAAAATTGGTCACACTTTTCGGACCTTGGCTGGGCTGTTTGTTTCGAATACCTGTGTTAATCTGAGACACTGCATTCCGACATTTAGTCAAACTTCATATATTTGCATGCAGTGGGAAACACTTATGTCATTGCTTTTGGCTTGCAGCCCTTGCCTCCTCTCTGTGTCCTGCCATTGGGCACTGGCAATGACTTTGCACGGGTCTTTGGCTGGGGCGAGGGCTACAGCTCATCCGACATCAATGTCACCGACGTCCTTGACAGCATTAACCAAGCTAAAGTGGAGAACATTGACAGGTATGTGCAGGTTATGCAAAATATACAGGAATATTGCAAATGTTTCGTTTGTTTAGAATGTAGTTGACGAACAGTAGGCATCCGATTTCCCAGACCCTCAAAGAACTGCGAAAACGTCTGGAAAATTGGGCAGTTAAGAAAAACGAATGCAAGCGAAAACACATTTTTTGATAGGTATTTTTTGCTCACGAGAGGAACATGACAGGAGTACAGAGTTCTAATTGCAATCCAGCAAGTGCATCGTTTAGGTGTCTCTGAAATGAGCCGAAAGTAAGAAAGAAAAGAAAAAATAAGATGCGATGTGGCTGACGCTACCGCATTTGCAAACCCTTAGGTGCAAAAAGAAGTCGCTTATTTTCCTTTGCGTGGCGTTTAACTCTCCCGCAATGATGTTTGCCTACATTTCAGTTCACGTCATGCTGTCCCTGTACACTGATTACAGTTTCAGTGCTCGCGTCATCTCAGAGTTGGTTGGTTGTGTAGGTGCTGCCTCTTCGATCTCGATGTCGAAGTCATCGGAATCCTCCGTAACTGGAAGAATGATTTCGTCATCGGTCCATTCTGCTCACAGCTTGAGGTCTTTGTCAGTGTCGGCGAAGCCCTTAAGGGTTATCACGGCTGGAATCGAAACACTGGCAATGTCTGCGGGTGGAAGTTTGTCGCACACGCTATCCACTCTGGGTGAGACAGCTGTCTCGGCGTCCAGTATGAAGCTTGCGTGGCGAAAACACTACCAGAGGGTCCGTTGCGTAACTGCCTTCCACGAGTCTGCAAGGATGCCGACGGCAGACCGTAGTTCAACAGCGTAGCTTTTCCTGCATTCGGAGCACAGGCTGCACAGTACCATCAAGCTACGGGTGGCAACAGATCGGTGTTCACTGGATTGCGGCATTTTCGGTTTCTTAAGTTACGGCAGCTGCGGGGCAGTGGGTTCGAGGGTCAAAAAACAACGAAAATGGTGGCATCGATAGTGACTTCGAGTCTGGGATTAGTGGTAAGAAGACCGGTAAAAAGACCGGAAGCTAAGGTGGAGCAATACTGAACCATTAATGGCTGAGAACCATAAATGTTTAGTGGCAAGAAAAGTTTGTCCATAACCAATTATACGTTACCTATTGTCATGGCATATAATACTGTGCAACAGACTGTAAAATTACTTCACCTTAATTGAAATCAGCATAAAAGCCTATATATACAGCAAACATTTCACTGCCCTAGGCGACAGATTAGCACAACTTTTTTTTTCTAATCGCATCTCTCCTTAATAGCTAGTTTACATTAATGTTGTATCTAAGCTAGTAGATGCTCATGGCATTCACCACAAGCTTTTGGCATCTTTTTAGGTGGAGAATCCACATAACTCCTCATCGGCGCTTGGGCTTTGCACCACCATGTCAGGCAAGTTGCTTTTTTTTTAGTAGTTTTGCACTTTCATATGCAAACTCTTCTGTGCACTTCTCTGTTGCTGAAAGAATAGTAAGTACAAAACTGTGACCGATGTTACTGTCAGTGTTCATACTAGTTACTGGTAAATCCAACGAAACATGCCAAATTGAACAAAATGTTGGCAGGCTGTGCATGCACTATATCCATTTTTCACATTTACAAAATTTTCTGCTTAGAGAGAAAAACAGCAGCAGTGCCCTTGGGTCACTTCTTTTCTTTTTTTAGAGTTTTTGTCTCCAAAATCGTTCACCAGCTCCACTTTGCTGTATGTTTTGATGTGTACCATACTGAAAAAAATGAGGCGCAGGTGAAATTCGGAACCTATGCCTGTGCAGCTCGCATAAGTTAGTATAAACCACTAGTTTTCCAGGAGATAAAAAGTTAATGCAATTTCTGACTGTAAATATTAGTTTTAACTAAATGTATGTTCACAGTGCTGATATGATTATGACTGAAATATGCTGACGTGGGTTGCATATAAACGTGTGTACAGAATCACATCCACAAGCATTCCTAGCCTCATACAAATTGCATTTTTTGCTGCGGTGAATTTATGTTCTTCTATTCTTTTTCATCGTGTGATTCTAGTTGACCATCATGACCTTGACTTATTTCCTTTATCTTGCTTGGTACCAGGTGGCCTTGTGTGGCTTCACTGCTTATCTCGTTGCGACGCCACGAACTGTAGCGGCAGCAACTCTCCAGTGACAACATGTGTGGTGTTTTTGCAGAGTTTTTGCAGAGTTTGCAGAGTTGTGCTCTTCATTCTGGTTAGCCTAGTGTAGTGATCACCAGCTATGCCGTTACTACTTCCTTTGTCGCGGATGTTCTGTCACTGGTTTGTCATACTAGCTGTGGCAGCTCAGTGGATATGACGTGCTTCTAAGCTTGTGGTTCTAGGCCACGTTATTTCCTTCAGATCACCTTAGATGATGTCAATGTCTCAAGGTGTAGCGTATAGTTCTGGATCACACACGTGAACTTGGAAATTAATATAAATCACTTACAAAGTTATACAGTCGACTCTCGTTAATACGAAGTTCACGGGGACCGCGAAAAACTTCGAATTAAGCAGAATTCCATTTAACCACAATGAACGAAAAATACATTTATTTCAAAGCAGGTTATGAGAAAAAATCTGTGATAGCCGTTTGCTTCTGTTTGCTGAATCTTGCAGCAGAAAGCAAGTCCTGCAGGCTGTATATGTGCCCGAGTGTTTCCTCGGCGTTGCTCTCAGCAGTGAAAAACCGCTGCGCGAGGGCAAGGCTTGGGGGCTACATCAGCAGCCTGCCGTAGTGGCTCACTTGCGGCGGCGGCGTCGTCAACCTCAGTTTCGTGACTAGGCTCGCTGGGCCGAACCATCGAATCTTAGCGTCCGACAGTGCAACGCACGTTTCTACCGAACTGTCAGTGGCAATGTACTACTCGAAAGGGACGTCGCCGAGAGCTGGCAGGAGACCATCAACGTCAAGCTCACTTGTGTCTTTTTCCTCCCCCACTGTACAAGACGCCAAGTCAAGCGTCTGATAAGGCCCGCGAGTTGCCATAGTAAATGCACGTGGAGCTTCGTCACACGTGGAAACGCTGAGTCCGCACACGACCGTAACGAGATCAACAATGAGGCCCGGAACCGGAACCGCCGGAGCAGCCGCTTCGTGATCTGGGGCACTGCATGCAACTGCGATGCCATCAGCTGATGCTTTGAGCTGTGGCGCTGTGGTTAACAGCGATGCCCTTGGGTGCCGGTCGCACACGCATTGTTGTTTAGCACTTCGAAAATAGAAAATTTAACAAACATTACGGTTTCCTCCGGTAATCCGATTGAAAATAAATTCAAATTAACCGAAATTTTAAACCTCTAGCTTCCAATTACCGAGAATTTCTTCCTGTTAAACTGCATGCAAAACTGTTGGGACCCCCACACCACTTCCAATTAACCGTTAATTCCAATTAAGCGACTTCGAATTATCGGGAGTCGACTGTATACTCATAGAGTTTTGGTGGGTGGCATATTTGTGTTCATGGGACTCGATCCCACAGGCTGTTTCTGCGGCGAAATGCTGGGTCAGTACTTCTGGCATGTCCAGGTAAAACTGTGAACGAGTCGGGCATAGTTAAAATGCACGGTGAGTTTCGTTTTCGCCCGAACATGTAATTTCAGTTTGGTATCTGCTTGCATGCTTATTGTGAACCTTTATAAATATCTAGCAATCACTTAATTGAAAGCGCGAGGTAGTACTCTCAAGTTGTACACAAAAGATGTCTGACATTTTAAATATTTGTGTGCATTTTATCTCCCTGTGAAAGTGCATGGAATGTACGATAATTACAAACATTTGCTTTTTTTTTGTCTAGAACATTGATTTGCATGGAGATGTAGCATGATGATGTAGAAGGGCCTGTGAAGTTATTCTTTTTTCAGGTTGACGATAGTATGCACCCAACGCTGATTTATTTGTAGCAAAATTATTAACATGTCTTGTTTTATAGTTGGCAGATGACTGGGAAGAGAACTAAATTGTGCCAGTAATATTGCAGTAACAGGATTCGGGATGCAAGGAATCGGCTGCATATAGAAACTCCTTTATTTTAGTGAAACCAACCAGCTTCTACGCGTGGCTTTTTTTTTCGTCCACAACATCTGTCATTCGAACTTTCTTGCAGGAAATGTACATGACCAACTATTTCTCTGTGGGTGTGGATGCCTTGGTTACCCTCAACTTCCACAAGACCCGACAGTCTTGGCTCTACTTTTGGAAGCATCGCCTTTTCAACAAGGTGAACAATGAGCAGGCAGTAGTGCTACTATAGTTGATTGATTAAGCCGTGGTGCAATTGCACTCTAGAAATTCCATGAAATGTGTCGATTAGAGTGCACGGATGTGATGTTTTGCGTTCAAGTTCGCTTAAAGCTGAAACCCTTCTCATTTAAATTTCATGAGCCTGAAAACAATGTCTGAATCAACCTGTTGGTGAATTAAAGTAGATATTGAGAAGCAATGAGCAGATGCTGATTACATTAAAATGAGTTTTTTTACTGAGTGATAGCATAAATTTTGTATCTATATTGCATATAAGCATTGTGAAAATTGCAGTTCTTGACATTTTGGAAATCACAAGAGCCTAGTTATGTAGTATTTACTGTAATAATGTTAAGCTTCTTTTTCTTTTTCAAAATATAGCAGCCAACCAATCTTACTTACATGATAAGGGCACAGGGAAATGCCCTCCTTAAGGGGGGACGCGGCCCTTGAAAACTGAAAAATCGCGAAAAAGTCGGTTTTTGAAAAACCACATTTTTGGGTTGTATGTCTCATAAACTACCTATTCTGTAATTATCAGCACCTAATTCAACCACAAAGTGCAAAAAAAAATACTATTTTCGAGGCCGCCGCGGCGTCCAAAACAGGCGCAAATCCCGAAATCAAACCAAACTTCGCGTGTGCCATTCCCGGACCATGCGGTCGTCCCGCGCCATCTTGGTGTTGTTTTGACCGTGAATTCTTTCTCTCTCGTTTGCCGCCTTGCAAAATGGCGTCGGCAGCACAGTTGAGACGCTATTGGCGTTTTCCCGTGATGCGATGCGGAGCGCTGATTGGCTAGAGCAGCGCATTCATATCTCGCGGGAGAAAGCGTGCCCGCCATTGGCTGCTGTGCAGCAGCGGGGGCGGTCGCTCCTCTCGATGGCGCGTCCAGCGCGCTCGCTTCGTTGTTGCTCTCTGCTCCGTCCGCCTCGACAGACGTCTGCTTACGAGCCGCTCTTCGCCTTGTGCTATCTTTTCGATCATTTTCTCTCGTTTTTTTTTCTTTTTGCACTAGTTCTGTGCCTTTCGTCTTTGTTGTTGCGGGCAATGCCGGCAACGAAGCCGAAGTCAGTGCGGAAGTTCGGTGCGCGGAGGCGTGCTATGCGGCTTGTACGATCATCGAAATTCCGCTATTCTGCTGCGGGTGCCGACTGCGTAGACGCTTGCAGCGACGGAACTGTGTTGTCGGCTGTCGCCAGTCGAGAATCCGACACATCGAGTGTGGCTGGAGCCGCAAATGCACCGAGTGTTTCCGAGATCGCCAGGCTCGACACGTGCTCCGAATCGATGCCATCCAGTGTGACACCGAGTGCTTCTGATATCGCCGGACCCAGCACTTCGTCTGAATCGGTGCCATCGAGCGCGACACCGAGTGCTTCTGATATCGCCGGACCCAGCACTTCGTCTGAATCGGTGCCGCCATCGAGCGTGAGTGCACCGTCGCTTCATCTGCGGACGCGTTTCCTTACGAAGGAAGAAATCGATGCGAATGCGAAACGTCGTGACGCCGTTCGCGCTGAACTCGAGTCTACGCCGGCGACGCAGAAGAAATTTCAACTGATGCAGCCGGCTCTTGCACCTGCAGTGACAAGTGAGGGCGAACATTTTTCGCTCGTTCAAATGAACATCTTTAACGTCGTGCTCAGCCGCACAGTGTGCAAAGAATGTTTGAAAGGTGCTATGACTGTCCGAAAGAGCACCAAGCTTGGACTTGCAACAATACTTGAAGTCGTGTGCGCCTCTTGTGGCACCGTCGATAAATTATGGACATCACCCCGCAAAAAGGACACGCAGGCCTTCGATGTAAATGTCCGCGCCATAATGGCTATAAAGCAAATAGGCAAGGGGCAAACAGCTCTTAATGACTTTTGGGCTGCCATGAACGTCTCTTACAGAGGTCTTCACCACAAGACGTTTCAAAAGCACTTGAAAGAGACGTTCAGGAAGCCAGAGGCCACCGCTTTGGAGAAGTTTTATGGTGATTCTGCCACAGCAGTGATCAAAACATATAAAGAAATGGACCCCAGCTTCTGCAAGGACATCACCGTAGTGTACTATGGCACATGGCATAAGCGGGGTCGCACATCACACATCGGAGTGGGATCGGTAATTGACTTTTTTACAGGTCTCATCTTGGATGCTGTATTTCTTTCAAACCACTGCCTTGGATGCCAAACAGGGCCCAAACCTGGAGATGCAGCATACGAAAGCTGGCAGAAGCACCACATTTGCCAGAAAAACACAGACGCAAAATCAAGAAGCATGGAAGTGGAGGCAGGCTTGACTCTCTTTGGGCGGTCTGTATCCAAGCATGGCCTGCGGTACACCACTCTTGTGTCCGACGGAGACAGCCGTACCTTCGCTGCCCTCACAGAAGAGAATGTGTACGGGCTAGTGCCAATTGTAAAAGAAGAATGTCTGAACCATGTTCAGAAAAGGATTGGAAGTGCTCTTCGAAACATTGTGCAGAAAAGTGATAAGCCACTGAGTGGGAAGGGGAAGCTGACTAAAGCCCTCATTGAAAAGCTGACAGGATATCATGGTTGGGCCCTGAGAAACAATTCAACTGACCTAACAGCCATGCAGCGTGCAGTGATGGCAACATATCACCACGTCACATCGACTGACCAGGACCCTCACCATGAACTTTGCCCAGAGGGGGCTCAATCGTGGTGTCGCCATAGAGCTGCAGAGGCAAAGCGTGAGCCACAGCCAAAACATAAACACAGCCTACCAGACTATGTCGCTGCAGCTATGCTGCCCATCTACGAAAGACTGTCACAAAAGTCGCTTCTTCAGCGCTGCCTGGGAGCGAAGACGCAAAATGCATCAGAATCATTCCACTCCATTCTGTGGTCTCTGATGCCGAAGGAACAACACTCATCCTTGATCGCGGTGGAAACAGATCTGCATGAAGCAGTGCTGTGCTACAATGCCGGCTGCTGCAAAGCAACCCAAGTGATATCGGACTCCATTGGACTTCAACTAGGTCATCTGGCCATTCAGCGAGCTCATGAAAAAGACGCTTTACGCCTAAAAAAGAATTCTAAAAGACACCAAGAGAAGGTGGAGGCCAGGCAAAAGAAGAAAAGAGTGCGCCAGGACACTTCTAGCTACTGTGCTGGAGCTTTTTGAAGAAAACACTTGTTTTGAACTTTCTCGGCCTGTTTTCTCAGAACGGATTTTTTTGCTAGTTGTGGTGCTGAGGAAAGCAAGAACTCGAAAACCGTTCATCAGATTTGTGTGCCGTTTTTTTTATTCTGTTCCTGAATGACCTTGCAAGGGCGTAACAAGCTCCTTTTTTTGAAAATTGATGCTGTTAATTTATAATAAACAATTAATTTTTGATGAATCTGGTCATTACTGGTTACATCAAATTCAATGTTGCGTGAAAATTTTTGGGGGGGGGGGAATTAAAAAAAACGGCTTTGTAGCGCCCTGGGATAGCTATCAAGGAATTACCACAATGAATTTCAGCTTTCTACCATGTCCTGGGATTTCTCACGACTCTTCCTCAGGCACCCATGTGAAGCACCCAGTTAAACCTCAATAACTCCGGAACTAAGAAACACAGCTTCGTGAAACTTAGCAGTTGTGCTAGTTTTATTGTAGTGAACAACCCCTGAAAGTTTCATCCAGATATCTTAAAAAATAAGAAAGTTCGGTCTCCAGGGTAGCCTCCCCCCTTAAGAATGGGCTGCCCCCCAAAAAATTTCTATGTAAATATAAATTGGTATCTATTAACTCAAAAGCCAGGGTCCTTTATCTTACGGTCTCATGCTGTACTGAAATTTACTTAACAGCATCCGTAGGCTGTCTGAAAAGTATCAAAAAAGAAATGCAGGTCCAACATACACTGGTGATCGATGTAGGTAAAGGTTGCAAGTGCTTTCTGCAGCCACGAATCGCTAAAATCATCTCGGGTGCACATAGACCAATGCGACTGATTGTTATGTTTACCAATCTGTTGCACTACGCACTGCAGTGAACGGTACATCAAAACTTGGTTTTATTAGAAAGTTTGGCTTTCAAATAGCATGGAGGTGTCGCACTATGCACTGCAGTGAACGTTACAGCAAAACTTGTTTTTATTAGAAAGTTTGGCTTTCAGGTAACATGGAGGTTAGGGGAAACCTGGAATAATGCTGCCACACTTCTATTTGTCTACAGTTGAATCTCGATACCTTTTTCATCTGAATCTGCAAATAAAACTTATGCAAAAATTATATTAACCAAAAAGGTAGGACAACAATCTGTGTACTTCGCTAGCAACTCAAATTTTTTTAGCCAGATAGAAGTAGCTGGTCAAAACTTACTGTGCGCTTTCTTTTTTAAATGTGTTGGCTTAAGTTCTAAGCATGGAAAAAAAAAAGAGCTGTAATTTGCTCACTCACAGTTGTGTTGGTGGCAAAGCTACGAATTGTGTCGAGGTGTTGCCATGCTTGGCAGTGATCTTCTCGCTGGAAAACCAATGTTGCTGTGGCCTCGGCCGCTCTTCAGTGGGCTGATTGTGGCATGTTGGAACGTGTTTTTGGCTAGTATACTGAAGAATGAAAGGGGGATTACTAGACATGTTGCCCAAGACCCACTTTTGCAGGTGTATTCTCGAATCCTGAGCAAAAATGTGATCGTGTTAAGCGGACATGTGTCGTAAAATTTTTTGAAATTGTTTAACGATTGACATGAAACTCGCCGAGTTTCCGTATATTTGTGCGCAGATTTCAGAAATGCATGTTTTAGTGTAATATGTAGTTTTAAAATACTATCAGCCATTCAATTTGCTTTTTAGAAGCCATAATTTGCCTTAACTGATAGAATTACAAAGTAAACAAGCACATCAGAACAACCTGGGATGAGTACATATTGCAAGAAAACAAGAATAGATACTGTAAGCTCATTTGAACAAAAGTTATTGTATGCTGAAGATTTGCCAATGAGTCTGCATCAAGTTGGTATTTCAGTCAGAAATATTTAGCACACCAGAACTTCTGTTCAGATGGGATTGGAACATCAATTTCCGTCTTCTTGCTCTCTGTACTAATGCCAGGTCATTCTCATGGGCTTGCTTAAGTGTTAACTCTTTCAGTTTAGGCAAAGTATAGCTCCCAAAAATGGCACCTGGAACTTAAAAACTGCATACCTTACTAGAAAAAAATTTGCATAATTGAAATCTGCACCCATCAAATTTGCATAAACTTAGCAAGTTTCATTCATATAGATGAATAACTTTTAAAAAAGTTTTGGGTGCATTGTTGTCCCTCCTTTAAGGGGAGATGCTACTCGAAAAACGATTTTCTTTAATAAGAGTCTGAATTTAACACAAATTGGCATGCTAATAGAGTTTTTTCTCCTCTTTTCAAATATGTCATTTATTTTCATGTAGATTGCTTGGTTTTCTTTCTGCAGGTCAGATACTGCAAAATTATGGCCATTGTTATGCAACAATTCTGACCTATAAAAATTTTAGATAAAGCATGCAGATATAGCTGACTATGATCCTTTGGAACTGTAGAGTGCAAAAAACTATATAAATTTTGTGTGTAAAAAGGTGAAATACAATAATAAAATAGAAAAATTTAGTATGGCTCTAGTTGCCAAGGGCTTTCAATGTTATGTAATTTTTGAAAAACATAATCAAGCAGCACTGACAATCTGAATAGATACTTGCACTCTATGGGCCTTCATTATGTTATGTGTAAAATTTCATAGAGGTATGACAATTCTAAGTATACGAACTAGCGTGTATAAGAAGCACAGATCACACAAAACTGCAAAAGGAGAAAAACGCATTTGAAAGTTTGAAACCTTTTTTTTTTTATCACAGAGCTGTTAGAAATGCATAATCTTTGGCCATAATGTTCAACAGAACTTTGAAAAGCACTGCAAGTTACTAGAACTGTCCTGCAGCATAGGTTGTGCCCTCACGGTCCTTGCGAGCACTCTCTTCTAGCCGCGCCCTTTTCACTCCACGACAACAGTGGGCCCTTGCTTCTGCTGTCAGACGCTCGGACATTCTCTTGATGCGCCTCGCATCGCGGGAATCGCTGAAAGTAACTAGATCTCTAGATGGCAGTATGTTGAGCTCTTCCAGGATGTGCTCGAAAGTAGCACGACCCTTGTTGAACCACAGGATTGCCATAGCTGCGGCAGTCTCGACAACCGTTCGGGAGACAAACTTAGTCTTGGGGCAAAGTAGCCAAATTTTGCTGTCCAGGGATTCCGATGCGTTCTGAGTTTTTCCTTTGATGCATCGAGCAAGGAGCTTCTCATCCGTTAGCCGCTTATAAATGGGCAAAACAGCCAATCCCTGTGCTTTTGTCAGGAGAGGTGTGTGGCGTGGAGCAGGTTCACCAAGTGCTTCAGCGCGTTGATGTTTGCACCACGACTCTGTTCCTGCAGGGCAAAACTTGTGGCTGTTAGCATTGTCAGTAGAGCATGAGTGGAAGTACGAAGCCCATACTGCAGTGTACATATCCCGTACACTCCCCCTGTTGCTTGTTATGGCAATCTGATAGTATGTTTGGAGCTTCTGAATGGCTGGCTCTTTCATTTTCTGCCCTCGTGGTAATGGCACATGCAGCTTCCGTAGCGCGGTGCCAAGTCTCTTGGCCACATGATTAGTGCAGTTTTCTTTTTCTATATTGACAGCACCATAGACTTTTGACTCTGCAACTGCACTATATGCTTTGTTGTCACCGTCACTCAAGAATGTCATGAAATGCAGTGGGGTGTCATAAGTCAATGTTCTCTGCCAAATGCGCATTGCAGCCTCCGTTTCCATGGCATGGGAGGAACAGTCTGCATTTTTTTCACAGACTGGGCCATGGAATGCCTGCCACACTTCCTCGTCTGGGCCCATATCCTTGTGCCTACTGCATGTCAGGCAGTAATTTGATATGACCTCGAAGTCTAAGCAGAGGCCAGTATCTAAGGAGATAACTGCGCCAATCCCGTTGTGGCTTTTGTGGCCCCTCTTCTGCCAAGTGCCGTCGAACATAACAGCCACATCAGTTTCGCCTGCTACTTCTTTCGTCAACTCTCTGGATCGGTGCAAGTTTTCACTCACAGCTGTCATGGCAGCGGTGTGCACCTTCTTTGCTATCAAAAAAAATCCTCGGTGGTGCATTGGCTTTGGGAGTCCAATAATGGAGCAAAATCTCGACAATTGCTCATGCCCAATGCCGACAGCGCGTGCAGCCACCACCGCCTTCACATTTACAGCGAAACTATCTCGGGAGCTCCCACTGTCGTACCGTTGGCTCACTCGGCTGCTGCCGTCCGCCGTAACACACAGGGACGTATAGGAGTACGAAAGAACAGTCGCTGAGCATTCGCTGTTTTCGCAATGAAGTTCGAAGAGCGACGAAAGTCCCTTGCGCTTTTCTGCCGGCTCCCGAACGGCAAGTTTTTGAATACCGCAAGCAGGGCATGCCGCACCTGCCACAAGTGCCGTCAGCAAGAGGGTGTCGCACAAAACTGTCGTTGCACAAACCTCATCGCGCTGTCTTTCGTCTTTTTCGAAGAAGCCCAGCTTCTTTTCCGAAGCACTGACGAAAGAAAGCGCAGCGTCAATCCCTTCATGGCAGCCACTGTCGCTCGCGCGCTCGTCGATGCCGCCGTCAGGCCTAGCACACGTAGGCGCGTTCTCGTTCGTCGCCGTCGTTCGGGGCGCTTTACGCCGCTTTCCTTTGAACTTGTGCTTCGTTCGAAACTTCTGCGGTCTCACGTTGCACTTTTTTGGGCTTGTCATCGCGGAAATATGCGTAGACGCGCAGAAAAGCAGACGGACCAAATGCCGATGGCCGCCACCAACACAGCTCACAATGACGCGGTAGCCAATGGCGATGCGGCTTAGGGTGCCGGGCGTTACAAACCGGTCAAACCATGGGATAAAAAGGCCTCGTTTTTTATTTTTTTTTTTTGCCCACGTACGAAACTGGCGGAGCCGTAAGAAGAAGGCCGGACGCAACTTTCCCAACCGATCGCGATGGCGGGCGGCACTGCGACGGGGAGCAGCGCGCAGTCAAAGATGGCCAATATCGGCGCAAATTCACGAAATTTTGAGCCACCGCGATGCCTTCATACACATTCTTTTGCATTTTGCGGTTCGAATTTAGTTTTGAAATTTTCACAGATGAAAGAAGAAGGTTTGAAGATTACAATGCAATAAATATCAGAAATACGAGAAATTTCGCTAAAACGCGATTTTTCGACTCGCATCTCCCCTTAACAAATGCAAAATTGTAAAGGAAGTTGGCCTGGAGTATAAAGGAAAACATATTGTACAGAATAATGTCAGTGTGATTCCACTGTAGTTGCTATGATGCTATTACATTGGAAACAAAAGTTTGAAAACAATTTCACATAGCATCCACATGGTTCCTATAAAGTTAGTAGTCACGCTGTGGGAAAGTGGGACCAGCCGTGAAAATCGATTGGCTACTGAAATTCAAACCTTGTTGCGGAATCGCAGCAACTTTCAATTACTTTTTTTGAGAACTTCATTTTTATGAACAAGCCAAGAACAGCCTCTTACGATTTTAGTGCTATGGAGAGTAAGTTCAGTGGTATTTTGAAACGAATGTCGTCATAATTTTTCTCACTGATCCTTATTGCTTGGAAGCGACTAGTATTGTTATGAACAAGATGGTATGTATTCATAAAGTAACAAACAAGGGCTAGGAAGTAAGGGCTAGGAAAGTAGTGCTGTGTTCACTGTGCTTCGATGCACACTTTGATTTGTATGGGTTTTACATAAGGTGGTATGATGGTGCCTGTGTTAGGCAGACCAAGTTTGTTCTGGGTTGAACCAGAATCCCATGGTTCAACCCAGTTTTCTTTCTCGTTATCCTTCTTCGAGGGTAAGTAATTAGAGCTCATATGTCATAATTTTAGGCGCTGTTAAGCCTAGCAAAAAATGCCACCACATTCAAGAAGCATTTATCTGTGCTTGAGACAAGGTGCTAGAACCTTCAGCAATGGAATTCTGTTTGAGGAGTGTTTCACAAAAAGATGGGGCATCGATGTAATCAGCTGACTGTAGTGATAAAACAAGTGACGATGTGGTGATGTCAGGGTGACGTCATTTGTTTGACTGCTATATCAATATTTTTGAAATGTAGTGTGTGACATGTGCTTAGAAGGCTAAAGTGCAATGAAGACAGTGAATGTATGAATGTATTCATGCAGTTCCTATACATCACTTATGGCACCCGTGACTTGCTCGAGAAAAAGTGCCGGGATCTTCCGCAAAAGGTGCGCCTTTGGCTGGACGGGGAGCCCCAGGACCTGGAGCATCTGGAGGCCATCACTGTGCTTAACATCCCTTGCTGGGGCGCTGGTGTAAGGCCATGGCACATGGGGGCCGGAGGTCAGCTAGCTCAGCCTCAGAGGTATGTATGCACAGTCCTGCAGTCAACTCTGCTACAACGAACGCCGCTTCAGCGAAATTTTCGCTACAACAAAAAATTCATGATTCCCTGTCAGCAGTTCGTAGAAGTCAATGCGTAAATATTGTTGCCACAACGAACACTTTCTCTTCGATCATCCCGCTTCAACGAAATTTTACGATTCAATTCCAGGCTGAGATACTTATTGTTATGCAGTAAACCCAATCTTTAAGATTTCCATGCATTTTCAGAGCCTGAAAGTGTGTCAACAAAGTCTAAAACACACGTTGGCACCACCAGAAACCGCCACTATACTGTCGCTGTTCAGCAAGCATGGGCACTGCCATTGCTCGATAGCGATGGCAATGAGACTGCCCTGCTTTTGCCACTGGCTTATTTTTTAGCCACAGACGATCCTAAGCTGAAGCTCAGTCGGTCAGTTCATGGTTTCCTTCACGCAGCTGCTGTGTGCAACCGCGGAACGATGCCTTTTCCAATTCCGATGCTTATCATTATGTTCACGCTTGGCCAGTGTGGTAACTAATCAGAGCGGCTGTTCGTCCGCATTGTCAACTAAATAAGCTAGCCGTGAGTAATGAATGATAAGAATGGCATAGAATAATGCAAAAGTCGCTGCTCCGCGATACCCTGCTTCCATCTTGGCGTTGTCGGATACTTTTGACGGTGGACAGCTGCTGGTGTTAAGGTGTTAATGCAACTGTTTTATTCGTTCATGAAGGTGGTTCTAGGCATTGTTCAAGCGTGCTTTTCACCATGGCCTCACTATGCATTGGTGAGAATGATGTCGTGACGCTGCTGGGAAAGAATAGGAAGCAGCAGTCATTTTTTTGAATCTCGAGGATGAACGTTCCTTTATTTTGCTAGCTCAGATCAGCTATATTTTTTTTTATTTCACTACAACGAAATTTTCGCTTCAAGCGAAACTTTTTCCGCGCTCCGTCAGTTTCGTTGTAGCGGGGTTCGACTGTAGTGCTTTGTAGATAGCTAAAAGGCTGCTTACTATGCCGCATACCATGCTGAGGTTAACTCTGCACTGGAATTTTCAAGGTGCTGTCCGAGAAGCATTTAACAAAAATAATTTTTAAAATGTACAAATTCTTGGACAAAATAGAAAAATGTGATTGCCTTAACTGCCCCTGTTTCATAGAATTCGTCATATATTTGTGCCAAGCTGAGCCCAAATCTTGAAATTTGTTGCAATTGTGTCCCGTTATCCTGAAGCGCCCTACCAGCCTCACGATTCTCTCACTTGTGCTAATTTTACCAACAAATTGACAATGTTCAGTTTTGGCATCATCGTTGAATTCATTCCAAAGCAGAGACTTTAACCTTAAACCCATTGTGAAAAAAAAAAAGCACCGTCATATTCACAAAGTGAATGATGTTAGAGGAGCTTGCTCAAAGGTGCACGTGGCGTTTCTTGGAAAGGCCATTTCTGTCTGAAGGCTTCTTAGCAAGCCTTCAAACAGAAATGGCCTCGATCGTGCGAACGTCGATCGTGCATCTGCCGCCGCTTAATGCCACTGCTTTGAGTCAAATGCCTAACGTTCATAAATTGCAGACATTCAGCAATCAGGCATTTTTCAACAGGGTTGAGAGCAGGCAGGTGAGGTGATTCAAGAGTACATTGGTACCCATGCGTAACACTTCTCGTAGGAACTTGTCACATGCTGCCGTGGCTATGAAGCGACAAGAACGAAATGGATGTAGTCGTCGGGAAACAAGTACGTGTGCCATCGAAAACTGACGCCTTGGGTGGCATCGCGCCATCTAGTGAGCATTGTTGGAATCGTCGGAGAGGCAGCCGAAAAAATGTAAACTAGCAACACTGGTTTAGATAGATATGTGGGGTTGAAGGGGAGACGCGGGTCGAAAAGTCGCGGTTTTCCGGAAAACTTTCGCTTTTTTTTTTCTGGCTGTATTGGCATACTTGGACTATAATCTACTACTTCTGAAAATATGAAGCTGAAATTCGCACGAGAAATTATCAAAAAATGCTTCCAAGTGGGCAGCGGTGAAGCGAGAAATGCGCTTAAGTCGTGAAAAACGGCGAAGTTTGCGTCATCTTGTCGCGAAAACGACGCGTTGGCCACCATTCGCAATCATGCATGCACGCTGCTAAGGCCATATCCTTCACAATCCACTAGTAGCCAGTCTCGTGCCTTCACACAGAATAAACGAAAAAGGAGAAAACGCGTATGTTACGCGTTTTGAATATCGCGGCAGAAAACACGAGGCCGCCATTGGACGGCGGTGTGCTCCACGCTCCTCCCCCTCCTATCTCTCCGGCAAAAGAGCGAAGCCTTGGATGTTGCGATTGAATTTTTCTGCGTTTCTCTGCATTTTTGCGTCATGGCAAGCCCGAAGAAGTGCAGTTTAAATAATCGAAAGTTCAGAACTCGCCACAAGTATCGAGGGAAACGGCGTCAGACGCTTCGCAAAGCGACAGCGAACGACGATGTGGCCCCCGACCAACGCCTCGACGCTCCGACTTTGGATAGGCCTAACACCATCACCGAACCCCGCGACAGTGGTCGTGAAAGAGCCGCTGCCGTGGAATTCGTCAGTGCATCCCAAAAGAAGATTGGATTCTTCGAAAGTGAATGTAGACCGGCGGATGCTGCTACTGCGAACATACTGCTGTGCGAAATCGATGTGCTGACGACACTTGTGGCGGGTGCGCAATGCCCAACCTGTCGCAAACTTCAGCGTGCAAGAGGCAGCTGGAAAGCGCAAAGGACTTTCGGCATTCCTCGAACTGTGGTGTCAAAATTCTGATTGCCCTGAATATGCACTTTCGTTCTCGCACACGTCGAGACGTACTGCTTCAGCCGGGGACCAAGGGACAAGCGCTTGTTTTGACAGCGGCAGCTCGTGTGACAGCTTTGCTGTAAACGTGAAGGCAGTTCTGGCAGCACGCTTTATAGGCGCAGGCAACGACCAACTTTCACGATTTTGTGCTATTCTCGGTCTTCCCAGCCCGACGCATCATAAGACATTCAACCGCATTTCCAAGAAGCTCCATAATGCGGCGATGACGGCAGTGAGCAAAAACTTGCACCAGGCACGAAACATCACGAAGGACGCAGTTGGTGGCAGAGATGTGCCAGTCATGTTTGATGGCACTTGGCAGAAAAGAGGTCATAAAAACCACAATGGAGTAGGCACAGTCGTGTCCTTGGACGCTGGGCTCTGCCTCGATTTTGAAGTTCTTTCGAACTACTGCCATGCTTGCAGTACACACAGGGACCTTGGGGAGGATGAAGAGATATGGCGAGCTTTTCATCTTCCAGTTTGCCAAAAAAAAAAAAAAAAACTGACTGCTCATCCCACGCAATGGAACCTCTGGCAGTTGTCAATATATAGCAGAGGACCTTGTCTTATGAAACTCCACAGCGTTTCTCCAGCTTCCTAAGTGATGGTGACAGCAAGGCCTACACTGCAGTCTGCGAGGCAAATGTATATTGTGACACCCCCGTTAACAAAGAAGAGTGCACAAACCACGTTGCAAAGCGCTTGGGAACTGCCCTATCGAAATTGGAAACGCCATAGCCATGAGGCGAAAAACTGAAAAATGCAACAATAATAAAACTACAAACATATTCCAAGATCGCCATCACGAGCATAAAGGACAGTGCCCGAAATATGTACGCTGCCATATGGGCATCGTATTTTCATTGCTGCTCTAGTGATGGTGCCAGTAGCCACAACTTTTGCCCCGCGGGACCAAATTCGTGGTGCAAGCACAAGCGTGCGGAAGCACTGAGGGAGCTTGCACCACACCACACCCCACTGTTGACGAAGGCTCAAGGATTGGCAGTTACAGTCAACTGCCGATTTTTCGACCCTCTAGGGAGCAAAAAACTGTCTGAAAATTCGGGCAGTCCGAAAAAAATAAATGCAAGCAAAAAAAAAAAAAAACGCATTATTTTACTGATAATTTTCAATGCAAGCAAAAAAAAACACACCATTTTGCTAATATTTCTCAATGCAAGCAAAAAACGCACCATTTCATTGATATTTCTTGGATCAAGAGGGTCAAGGTCGAAGTACCAGACTTCCTGAACTGTGCCAAAGCATCTGTGGGGTGGCTCTGAAAAGAGCCATTAAAAAAAATGCATGCAGCCGACTGCGGGTGCCGTCAGGGCAGCCGGTGTTAGAGCTGCAGTGGCTTGAAAAACTTGTTGATCCTTGTTTGAACGGCGTTTCGCTTGCATGTGATCACATTCGCCTCGATCTGAGCAAGGGTCATGTCATCACTGTACACCGATGACAGCGTCATCAATGCTCGCATCAATTCGGCGGTCATAGGTGGCGCAGGCGTTGGTTCCTCTTTTTCGAGGTCGGAGTCGTCTGAATCCGCCGTAACTTGACTGACTATTTCGTCGTCGGTTAGCTCTGTGCAGAAGTCGAGCTCGTTGTCAGTGTCGACGAACCGCTCAAAAGTTATTTTCGTGGGCATGGAAGCACCAGCAGAGTGGAGGTCGTTGATAATATCGTCCATGAGAGCGCACAAGTCAGTCACGCTGTTGCTTTCTTCAGGCAAGTCTGCTGCCTCTGTGTCGAGTACGAAGCCTGCATGGCGAAAGCAGTTGCGAAGCGTGTCTTGCGTTACTGCCTTCCATGCGTCCGCAAGCATTCCGACAGCAAACCGAAGGTTAACGCTGTAGGTGCTTCGACGCTGCTGACGAGCGTCGAAGCACCTAGGCTTAGCGTTGCAGAGCACACTTCACGCGATCGCACAACCATGCACTAGGCTAGCCAAACACTATGTGGGCTGCGTAAACAAAACAGCACGACGGCAGGCGACGGTGCCTCGGGTACTCCAGAGGGGGCGCTGGTAAACATTTAAGATAGCCAGCGTGGCCAGACCAAATCGATGTGTGATGGTTAGTTCTAGTTCGAAGTGGTGAAACGCTTCGCGATAGCACTGCGCGGGAAGCCAGAGTGGCACGCATGAGCACAAGCATTAAAGCGAAAGG